AGGGTTGGTTGGATAAGAAGAAAATGTGATTCTCATGGACCGTGTATCCTAGAAATCTACACTTAAAACCTATATAATTTTACTAACCAATGCCACCCCAACAAACTTAATTTTTAAAAAAGGAGAGACAATGCAATTCCGTGACAGTCCTGCCCTTTGTTCCGTAGGGCTGTGGCCCTAGGACAGTCCACTCCTATCTGCTCATGCCCTCCTTATTTTGCCTTAATTCCCAAAACTTCCTACCGGTTGTGCTGGAAAGTTGTGTATTCACTCATAGAAGTGCCCAGGTGGAGAGGCGACAACACTCTCTTCTTCTCTTTGGGAGAGGTGGATGCCAGCGGCAGGCGCCATCCCCGAGTTGGTGCACGCCTGCATCCCTGTGCCCACACAGGAGAGCAGCCTCACGTGACTTTTGGAGCAGCTGAGCCTGTTTTCCTCAGTCTCCAACATTTCTCCTTGAGCCTCCCATTTCCTGAAGTAGTTCTGGTAAAGAAATTAGTGGAGTGAAACTTGTTCCCCTGGGTCTTGAGTTTTCATAATCAGCCTTAGCAAGAGGCAGCACCTCTCGTGGCCTGGCTGACAAGAGGCAGGTAAAGAGAGGGCCTGGCTGTGGGCTTCGGATCTCGGCTCAGCCACTTGCCAACAAAGCTGAGCTGCTGTGACTCACCTTTCTGTTCTGTAAAATGGGCATGCTGTTGGTATCTCCCTCAGAAGGGCCTGGTAGAATGTGGCAGGTTATCTGCGTTAGAATATTTCAGGTATTGAGTCAGTCTGTTGGAAGCACCCTATAAACATGGACTCTGACAATGATTACTTGTTTATGGCTAGTACCAGCTGAAGTTTATTTTTTAGTGCCAACGACCTTTTAAAAAGTGCCATAAAAATGTCTGTGGTTTGGTCTAGAGAATAACCCTGAGGAAGGACAGGGCTGGGAGGAACCACCTGTGCCTGGGTGTCCTCTTCCCCTTGCTGGCCTTGCCTGGTGCCCCCGCCCCGTGGCCCAAACCCTCGTTGAATATTAATGAGGCCCTTGGTTGTCAGAGCATGAGTTTTCGGCTGGATCTCCTCTGTCTCCTCACCCTGCTCCACCCTGTGGAGGAGGTAGAATTTTAAGAACGGGGCCAGGCTCGGGGTTTGGAAAGTGGCTGTGCTGAGGTGGCGAGGGACAGGAGAGGGCTGCATTGCACATCCCTGGGTCTGATGCTTCGAAACCTAGTGAAGGGATTAGCCAGAGAACACGTGAGCACGACCCAAGGACAAGGACAACAGTGTGGGATTGCCTGAGGGGCGTCTGAGGTGTGGGCAAAGGGGGAAAAGTGGAGACCACTGTAACAGCAAAAACAATAAAATATAAGAACACGCCCCCCTTGGAGCCCCTCATCGCCCTCTCCCTGAGTGGGGGGCTGTCAGGCACCGGATTTGCTCCCTTGTGTTCCTCTGGCTGGATGTCAGAGGGCGCCGTGGGGCCACGCCACAGGCTCTGGCAGAAGTGAAAGCGGTGGCGTTGGTGTATTCTCGGCTTTGCGGCGTCTTCCTCTCTGTGCAGTGCTTGAAATCTTGGGGCCACCCCCGTGAAAAGATCCCAAGGAGGGTCCAAAGGGTGGGAACCTGAGTGGGCACCGTCACCACCGGGTGGCGCCACCCTGGCTGCAGGACAAAGCTGCAGCTTGGGCCTGGGGTCTGGGCTGAGACAATGGCCTAAGCTGCAGATGTCAGCGTCCCTGAGGACGCCAGGTGAATGCCATGGTTTTATAAGCATCTCTCCATCTCTCTCTCTCTCCCCTTCCCTAATGACCCCATCCTTGCCCCTGGTACCGGAGACAGGGCCCTGGAAGGCTGGTAGTGGGGTTGTGTTGCTGCAGGAGGCTCCCGGGTCACCACCACCTCAGAGGCTACGCCCCAAGGTGGCTTCCTCCTCTGTAACCTGAGCCAGGCTTTCGGAACCACAGGCTCAGCCCTTCTCCGGCCTAAGAGGTCAGGGCAGAAACGCTTCTGGAAATCCTGATGGACTGAAAATCGGATCTAACCAGCTGCAGAAGGAAAGCAGGATTTAGGCGTACTGCTAGTGACATGTCACTGCAGTCAGTGCCATGGGACTTTGGTGTGAAAGATAAAAAGCAGAAGGGAATGCTGCTGCAGTAGCCTGGCGTCAGCCCCCATCGCCACAGCAGAAACACCGAGCGGCCTCTGTCGGGGACCTGGTCCCGGCCAACGTCCTCAGGCCCCCGCACAGAATGGCCTCCGGCAGGGCTGATGGAGCAGCCAGTAGGCGGGGCCGATGGAGCAGCCAGCTGGGTACTGGCGGGGCTTTTGGTTTTGTTTTGTTTTCAACTTTCCTCCTTTCTAAAAGTCCTTTCCCAGGAAGCACCAACCAGGGAAGAGAGCAGGCAGAGGAAGATGCCCTCTGTCGCTCCAGCCGTGAGGCGTCTTCCATTCTCAGACTTCGCTTTTTCCAGCGGCTTTAAGCTCACAGAAAAATTAAGCAGAAGGAGAGTTGCCAACGACTTCCTGCCTCCCCAGTTTTCTCCGTTTCGGCATCTTGCACTGGCGCCGTGGGTGCCGCTGGGGAGGCCGCCCTGGCGTGTGGTTGTCAGGTGGAGGCCGCAGTGTGCAGGAGGGCGCACTCTTGGTGTTGTGACTCTGTGTGCTTTGACAAATGCATGATGTCGTGTGACCACCATCACAGTGTCATGCAGACGGACCTCACTGTCCTAAAGGTCCCCTGTAGAAATGAAATTTTACAGCAGCTTTTAAAAAACAGAGCTGTTCCAGATTTCAGAGCTGCCAAAATACCTTAGGAATCAGACAGCCTGGTGAACGTGCAAATGACACCCTGTTACCCAGGCACAGGCAGCCAGGGCCCCATGTGGGTGTGTCTCAGCACTGCCGCTGGAGGCTGCCCCTGGACTCCAGGAGCTCGGGAAGGAGTGGAGGATAATGTGAGTGCACATGTACATAATAATGCTAGTGTGTGTACGTATTTTTTTAATGGGATGAGCGTGGGGCCCTGGCTGGTGTGGCTCTGTTGGTTGGAGTGTCGTCCCATACACTGAAAGGTTCCAAGTTCGATTCCTGGTCAGGGCACATATCCAGGTTTCAGGTTCGATCCCTGGTCAGGGCACATACAGCAGGCAACCAATCAAGGTTTCTCTGTCACACCGATGTTTCCCTGTCTCTTTCCCCGTCTTCTCTCTCTAAAAAAAGCAGTGAAAAAATGTCCTTGGGAGAAGGATTTTTAAAAAAGGGGGAATGACCATGCGAAGCATGAGCTGGCCACTAACTAGTACCAGCTCTCCCTCCTGGATTTAGGAGGTGGGGTTTGAGGGTTTGGGGGACTTGTGGATTCTGGTTTACCAAGGATTTGCTGTTGACATGTTGCCTTGAGAGTGATGGTGCCAGGGGCCAGCTCTGAGCTGGTGTGCCCCTGCCTGGGGCCGGGCAGGAGACAGCTTTCCCGTTGCACGTCCTTGCTGAGTCTGCTGCCGAGACGGGTCCTCCCTCCCCGTGCAGAGGCTGGGAGAGCTCAGAGCCGCCGGCATTCTTGGCTTCTGGGATCCAGAAATAATAAAGTGCTCTTGCTTTCTGGGGTTTCAAGCGAAGTGAGCGGTGGCCTGGCCCAGGCCCTGGACACAGCATGCTCTGAGGTCCACATGGCAGCGGCCCACTGACAGGGCCACTCGCTGCTCCTGGGGGCTGGGCCCACCGTCTGGGAGAGCTGGGAGGCCCGGCTCGTGCTGCCCTTGTTCTAAAACATAACCTCACAGTCCCCAGTTCCAAAGTTTAGGGTCCACGAAGATATTTGCGTATAAAAAGAGGCCCTATTGTGTCTGTGTACGCCTGATTTATTCTAATTCCTTACTAAAATTGTCTCCCGTGGGGCCCAAGCGCTGAGGTTCCTGGGGGCTGATGGCTTCCTTTCCCGCCCACAGAGGGCTGGGCCAGTGTCCGTTTCATTCTCCAGAATGCCTCTCTGCTCCAGAGACGTCTCTCCGCCACGTGTCTCGCCCTGGCTTTGGTGATCAATAAGGTGAAAAAGCACTGATTTGTCCTTTGCTCCTATGAACGTGAAAACGCAGCATCACTGGGTCTCTTTAGACTGGGCTCCTGTGTTGCTGGCCAGTCAGCTGAAATCTGCCGTTGGGAACTCGGGGTCTTGTTGGGAACTCCTCTTGGCTGCCAAAATGGTTCTAAATATATTAAAAGTAGGTTAACTTACTGTGTTCCCTGCATTTATTCTTCCAGCTGAAATTTTCCTGACTTTTTTTCCCCCCTTTCATTTTATTAGGTTAATAAAACTTGGTTTTCGAGCATTTCTCTGCCCCAGGAGGGCAATGGGCCCCACGTCCAATTCATCAAGTGCCTAATGAGTGGCCTCGGAGGTCCCGGCCCATCCATTCCAGAAGCTCTCTGCCTCGTAAAGGTGAGGCCTATGGGCTGCACTGTATATTTTGTCTGTTGGTTTCCCAAATTCTCCTGCCAGCTCTACTGTCACTTTCCAGGATTTATGGGAGGCCGACGGCACCGCGGGGGCTCCCCTCTGCAGCGGGACCCCCCTCTCCCTGCCCGCTCTTCACACACACCACACACTCCATGCCATAAAATAACGTTTCTGCAATAAAATGAAATAGAAATGTGTCGATGCTAGCATTTTAGAACATTCCAGCAAAAGGGCTGTGGGAAATGCCTTCGTTTACATTAAGGAGGGAAGCTCTGTGAGCAAGGGGGGTAAAACAGTGTGAGAAAAGGCCTTCAGTTAGGAGAAATAGCCGGATATTTAAAGTAAATAAATCGAAAATACAAAGTGTTTGTGTGTGTGTGCAGTCTCGAAATTACTTTTTACACATACTCATATACCTCCCCTGGTTAATTGTTTGTGTTTTGAAGAAAGGTGGCTGAAAGAAAACAGTGGGTGTCACTCACCTTTGGGGCCTGTGGGTCTGGGCTCCGTTGCCTTCTAGAACATTCTTCCTTTTCCTCCCCTGCAGGCTCTTTCGCCTTGGCTAAGCTGTCAGGACCCTGTCAGCTCCAGGCTTGGGGCAGCCGTGTCTGCCCCAACAGGGTTGGAAAACTGGAATCCGAGTGACCAAGAGCTCCAGGTACGCACCCTGGCGGGCGGCCTGGGAGCCATGAGACCGAGATGGGAGCCTGCGGGGGCCGGGGGCGGTTGCTGGGTGGTGGGCTTCCAGAGGCAGCCCGGTTTCGTCAGCATTTGCAGTTGGTGTCCTGATTCTTCTTCTCGGCTTGGAGCCTCCAGAAAATGCCTGGCCTTTAATTAAGTGCACTCTCCCGGGGCATGCACGATCGCTAATAAATTACTCTATATGACCTGTAACTTTTTCTTCCCTTCCTTCCAGCCGCCGGCCTTGAGCACTGGAGGGAAGGGGCACAGAGAGGAGGTTATGCTTGCTCTGCGTGCAGGAAAGGGGAAAATGGAAAAGCCATCTTAGACCATCCTCTGCAATGCCCTCTGTGTTTTGTCCACCTCTGGCCGCAGAGCCAGCTAACAGGCCCCGTCCAAACAACTGGCTGCGATATTGGGGACTTCTTCTAACGCCTGGGATCTAGAGAGGTGAGGGGATTTCAGGGCGTGGCGGGACAGTGGCGAGGATGGCTATCCTTCTTCTGACCGTCTTGCTCTTGTGGAGGAGCAGGTTTCTGGAAGGTCTCTGAGGTGCACACAGGGAGTGGCCACGGCCAGCTTATGGCAGGGAGACTGGCACCCAGCCAGCACCTCTGCTCTTCAGTGTGGGGAGTCACAGTGCAAACCACGTCACGCAGCAGTGACCTCAAAATGTCCACCTGACCCAGCTTTGCGTACCCTCGGATATGCCTCCCGGTCCTAAGATTTCATAGCTCTGTGTGAGGGCCTCAGAGTCCGCACGCCGGAGGCTGGGCAGGGAGTAGATCCTGTTTACACCCCTGGAGGACCCTCAACCAGGATGGGACTTTCTCATTCTGTCCCTGTCCCCTCTCTGGGCAGCTGAGGCGCGATTGCTGTGCGGAATTTCTCATCCAGAGCTGGCCCTGCTCCCTGCACGCCCCTCTCACCGGGCACGCATCGCACATTAGATTATCTTCTGAAAATATACTTTGAGGGGTTTTTGTTTTGTTTTGTTTCCCTACTTGACACTCTTGAATAAAATAGGCCATTTATCTTTTAGGCAGAAGCATTTCAACAGTTACACTGCACACTGGCAGGAGGATTGCAGGCTCAATGCGTAGAGGTAGTTAAAATTTTTTCATCTCGGGTTTATTCTTGTCTCAGCTTCCCCCATTCAAACTTTGCAGCTTTTCGCCCCTCTCCCTAACTAATCCTCCCAACCGCACCCCCCGCACCCCCCAGTGGATCCAGCCCACCTCCAGCTACTCAGACTGAAAGGAGCATTCATGCCTGGGCCATCTGTTTGTTTAAACTCACCCTGTGTTAGTCCATGTTAAATGCAACAGAATGGAGAAAAATGTAATTCTCTGTCGGCTTTTGATCAAAGAGAGGACTTTTAAAAAAAATTCAAGATGGATTTCTGAAGGACAATGTTATACACATTCCGTGTGTTTCTGAGCTTTGGTGTTTAGTTGATTTGGGGGGAAATCTTTTTTTTCCCCTTTTGATCCCAGGGAGAAAACACTCACACAAAAACACATCTCGGCACTGCAAACACGGCAAGACGGGCACTTTTCTTCTGACTCTGCAGCTGAAAAGTGGGGGAACAGGGCCTTTAATTTATCAACCACACAAGAGAATCTGAAATATGGCCCGACTGCGACCGGCAAAGGCTCCCTGGCTCCTGTGAGAGTTCGAGGGGAAGCCACTCTGGTCTGGGGCTGATTCAGGACCCAGGATGCTCACCCTCTCGCTCAGAAACACACGCGTCCATGCTCACTTCATCGATCTCAATTTCACGACCAGTCATTACATGTACATTTCTCCCCTTACTCCCTCAGCTTTGGAGCAAATGCAAATAAAACGCTTAAAATGGTTAACATTTCCTGTCACTGAAGGCATTCATTAGGGGTGGGGGTCGCCGAGTTTTAAAGTGGATTTTCATAGGAAAACTCATTTCAGATCTGCGGCGGGAACTCAGACCGGTTCACGCAGTGAATTTCGGGGGTTGCCATAGCCTAAATCCACCGCCGTCATCCCAGTGATCTTCATACAGTGTGGATGCAGGAGAGCCCACATCCAAATTCGAGCTGAGATTAACCTGGGGCCCAGCTCAGCTCACAGGAAAGATTAAAACATGTTTTTTTCCTTTACCCACCTTGACTCATTTTCTTTTTATTGGAGAAAAAAAAAACCCAAATGGTCTTTTAATTTGTTGTGTTTCCTCTATTGATTGTTTAGCTAGTGATTTTGCCAACTTCCTGGATGTTCACTGCTGGTTCTGCACCGAAGAGCGACATTTCCTCTCGGATCGGGACCGGACACGGCCGGCACAGACCCTGGGAAACTGTGAGTACTCCGAGCTCCTTCTCCCGCGTCTCCCTGACCCGGCGCGTCCCTCCCGGCCTGTCCCGCCCGGCCTGTCCCGCCTGCCTGCGGTCTCTGTATCCAGCAGTCAGCTTTCCCCGGGCGGGCGCCTCGCCTGCACTCGCTGTCAGCCCTCAGGACCGTTCTCCACGTTTAGGAAAAGAGACTCTACAGTTTCTACACAAACAACGTGTAGGAAGGGGAGGGGGAGTGTGCTTACCGATCGCAGTGACTTCGGTTTTCGCTTTAAGGCTCGGAAAGACGGAGAAAGTAAACAGAAGCAGGCTGGTTTATTTCAGGGGCTAACAGGGAGTCCCTACTGAATTTACCTAATAAAATAAATTTAAAAAATTTTCATTTTCTCATTTCATTCCAGCAGAGAATGAGTTTGCCTTTATAATGTCCAGATCTTTCAAGCTCTAGTGAGTGAGAAATTAAGTTACAAAATGTAAATACTTTGATATATGTATGTGAAATGAATATATATATATATATGAAATGAAGAGATTTCTGACTGTAATGCAATAGCAAGCCTGAGTTTAGGCTCTTAGGACATTAAAAAATTTTTTATGATGTGTAATAAGAAAATACAAGATTGAGTAAAATGTTTCTTTTTAAAAATAGGTGAATTGTGATCCTTAATACATTTAATCATAATTTTTATTTAACATAAGTTGTCTATTTAAAAAAAAACTTGTGAACATCTTGTCAAATGTTAGGAGAATTTTAAAGAAAATATATGCTAATATTCTAGGCCACAGTTGATTTCTTTCCTGTCCATGAAACTATTCCAACGAGTATGGGAAATTGTTAAAACAATGTAGTTCTCTCGTGAAAAGAATACCCTGGCTTTAATTACCAAGAGAAAGCAATTAATGCTCAAATTTCAAGGCAAATTCAGTGATCACTTAGGAGCAGGAAGAAAGAGGAAAGCAAGATGGTTATTCGCATGAGAAAATCCAGAAATCAACATTTGTAACTGTAGACGTATAATCGGAATGTGATTATATTTATAAGGAAAAGTTACATAAACTTCAAAAATGGTAGTTGTTTTGCTTAAGTGCCTGAAAGAAATTTAGAATAATATTTGGGTTATCCAAGTTTTGTACTCTTGTGTTCGCGAAGCCTTGTTAGGTTAAAGGACTCCAAAGGAATGGGGCGTGTGTGGGTGTTTGCCTGTGCTTTTCTCACTCCCCCAGCCCCCAGGAAATGTGCGGAGGGAAAGGTGGGCACTGACTAGTGAAAAAAACTTTTCACTCCAGAAATTCATAATTCATAAGTAGTGTAAAGCTTTTAGAAATTAAAAATAGCGCACTTCTTACTGTTTTTCCTCTTTGGGGGTTCTTGCAGGGGGTTGGGTGATGGGTTACAGCCAGTTTCCGAAATTGTTTACAGACCAGAGGTGCGCAAAAAGGCTTTGTTACTTCTCTTTGCCTTTGACTAGAGCATTTTGCTCGTGTTCTTCTGCCCCTGAAACTATGTCATTCTACACCTGAAAGAAAAAATATTTTTAAGCTTTTTAATTTGGATCATCGAAACAGAAACCTTTACCTTCTTAGGGAGGTTTGGCTGCTGACCAGTAGATGGCGATGTTACTTCTAGAGTGATCGATGCGGGTGGGGGTGGGGAAGATAGACACAGATTTAAGCCAAACCAAGTCAGGTCTCCCTTTTGCTTCTCTCCAAGTGCGTTCAGTGAGCGCCGATTGTAAGAAGAAAACCTTTTTCAAGACCCTGACTGAAATATGCGGACTACCCAAGAGTATTTAAAGTATTTAAGCCAAATATTAATTACCAAATGTCTCACGCTCCTGCAATGGTCTGAGACAGGGGCCAGGGAGAGTTCAAAGAAATATGTCCCGGAAATGTTCAATATAAAAGCTGTTTCAGTATTTTATCAGTTGCCTGTCTATGTTTTCAGAAATAAAAGCTACCCTTATGGTTCTCCTAGAATAATCACGAAGAATGTCCATTATAGTATTGCATGGAACTTTATATGCATACAAATGGCCAAGTAAAATCAGGCATGCACAGATAGTGACATTGGAATCTCACCTTCTCAAGAAAGTGTTTTCTTTCCCTGTGATGAATATACGTGAGAACACCCACCCTGGACGTGGTGTTTCATGGGATCAGCACCTGCTAAAACAGCATCGCCAGCTTCTTAGGGCTCTCAACTCTCCATCTCCCCAAGTTTCTGCTTTATTTTCACCCCTCCCACATTTTTCTAGCCCTGTCTCCTGTTAAGAAGAATCTCAAAGGATGTTAGCACATTCTTCAACACTTTTAATATTGAAATTAAAATTATTTTAAAACATTGTTAATGATTTTAATGTTTTGATTTTTCATGGAACATGATTCCATAATTTGTTTCATGTAATAATTTGCCATATTGTTTTTTAATTTAAAAAGAAATAGAGCACATGTTAACAACTAATTTTTTAAAAAATAATTCAACAAGAGCAACAAAAGATATTTCTTTTCCTAAAAATGATAATATTGTCCTTGAAAATAAAGAAGGGGGAATTCGTTAGACTTCAAATGTGAAATACTTTTTAAAGATGTAGAAATATGCGAATGTAGCATAGTACAATGACTTCATTATCATGTGTGGCAGTAATTAATTATGTATTATTTTTAAAAAATTTAATTGAATTACATTCCAGCTATTATACCTGTATGTATTTATAAACTATGCAAGTCACCCATTATCCACAACTCAAATCAATGTACTAATAAAATGTGCAAAAAAGCAACTGTTTAAATAAATTCTGTTCTGCTTTAAAGATTTGTCTGTGGGGGAGAAAGTCATTTAAGTATTGAGTGGCAGGGACCAGTGAACAATAATTAAAATGAAAATAAATCTTCCTGAACTTAGCTCTAATTTTCTTCAGCAAGATACTAACCTATAAAAAATAAACATTGTTTATTGAGCCAGGTTTGTATCAAGTGAACCTTTGTAAAATGATATGGGGAAAATATGAACTTGTACGTCCGAAGTACTTTGGTTCGCGAGCAGAACAGAGAGCTATTTGCTGTGTAGAAACTGAACAAAATAAAATTAGCAATTCTGGACGGAGATCTATTTAGATTGTGCGGCCCAAGGAGGTGAACATGTTAGAATTAACACACAAAAAATTTGTGTCACTTGGCACCTTGGCTTAAGGGATAATTTAATTACACCACCTATTAATGTTGACTTACGTTTCTGCTCCTGCCAGCCTTCTTACCAGCGCGCTTACTTCCAGCAGTCACGTCTGTGACAGCTCCCACAGGCCGTTCAACAGCGAGCGTTCTCTCGGTCAACTGCAAATATTTCAGGTTTCAGAAACCCAGCAAGGAAAAGCACTTTCAGGCTTTATATATGCGAATAAACTGGTTTGGGGTGAGATTGTTTCAGAAAATGAATTCAAGCAGCTTGAAATATTTTTTGTGTTTTACTTTGCCTGACAGGCTGGTAGGACCAAGATTATTGCCTCTTCTGGGCTTTTCTATTTTTATTTTTATTCTGTGTAAGGGTAGAAAGCGGCCCCAGTGCCATCCTGGCATGTGGACTTGCGGAAACAGAGCGGAGGCCCCGGCAGGCGGCTGGCACGTCGGACGGACGCACACGTCGCTGGCGCGAAGGGATGGCGTGCCATCGCAGATTCTGGGTTCTGTGTTTGTAAACTTCCCACTTTTCGTTTTTTGAGAAAGTCCCGTTTGATCTCTGCCCATGAAGGAGAGGAGGCACGGTTGCTTCCCTCCGAACAGCTGAACACAATCAGAATGCTTATTTTGTGTTGTGTTTTAGTTGAAAGGTAAAAGAGGAGAGAGAAACACACCCAAACAAACCAGAAGGCACATTTAGCATCCAGTCTTGAGCCCTAAACAGACTGTGCGGGCAGAAGAGGGATGAGGCCTGCTGGATACAATGCATTTGCCTCCTCCTCCCTCCCCCGGTGACGCCCTCTCGGAAGGAGCGGGGGAAGTGTGGGGATTCCATTCAAGGGTCAGCTAGCATGTTTAGCTGCATGTCAGGAGAAAGAAGGCTGAGATCCTTTGTGCAAACAAGTGCTGGGAACCCAAATCCCTGCCTGTCTCTCAGAAACGAACTTGCTTAACGTCTTTTGAGCTGTTTGGAGAAACAAGCGTCGGAGGCCACCTTTCAGTGGCCTTGCCGTGGCTGCTGCTGAATGGAAGGTGCCAGGCAGAGGCTGTGCGACGGCCCCAGACATTCCAGGCTGGACCCTGCAGCGAGGCATGCGCAGTGACGGAGACGGAGTGCATTCCCATCCTGGGAGCTGTCGTGCGGTCCCAGAGCAGGGCTGTCTCAACTCCGACCAGCACACTTGCAGATGTGGCCGCAGACCCTGGCTGGGTCAGGGCTCCAGCAATAACGCCGCACCGCGGTTGTGTGACAGCGGCTCTCCCCGATGTGCCAGGGCACTCCACACTCCAGGAACCCTAATCTTGGACACCCGGTCATTTAACAAATTCCTTAGGTTTTTGATTAATAGCCGACTGTCTCCTCTGCTTAGAATCTCAGTGTCAGGCTTGCTGTGTGCTGACGACAAGGTTGGTACATATCCAGAGTGCACACTGTGCCAGATATCCCACGAGACAGCCACAGGGTGCCTCCCAACAAGTCACTATTTGGGGTAGGGAATGTCAGTGTCCCCATTTGATGATCAAGGACACTGAATCCTCGAAGCTGAGGGGAGTTCCCAAGGTGGTGCTCCTGGTGTGGAGGGCTGGGGAGGACCCGGATTTGAATCCAGGCCAGCAGACCACAGATCCTCTGCACTCTTAATCAGAGCCTCATAGTGCGTCACTAAATCACTCTTCACTCTTCGCTGAGTGAAGGAGTGAAGAGGTGAGTCTGGGAGGCCGTGGGGTGTAATGCCTGGGGCAAAGGTTTCGGACCAGGGCAGATTCCGGTTCAGACCGGGCTCCGCCCCTCCTTCCCTGGTGACCCTCCGTGAATTCCTTAAATTTTCCAAGCCTTGGTTTTCTCCTAAAGAAACTAGAACTAGTGATCCTTCTTTTTTCAGGTCATGAGGATTGAGATTGTGGATGAAAAGGCTGGGCCTGTGGAATATGCTAGATAGAAAGTTGCATCACAACTGTGTCTGAGTCGTTTCCCAGGGGCCCAGAAACAAACAGCCAGAGTGGCCGCTGGGCATGGCAACTCAGCCACCCACAAGCTGGGTGACCCTGGTTGAGTCTCTTGAATATGTTGGTTCTTGGTTTATTCCTCCTGTTGTGGAAGGAATGAGAGCCAGGGCACTGTAAATACTAA